GTTTTCACATTGTCATTTTATACATTGTAATTCAAAAATTTTGATTGTAACCGCTTTAACAAATAGGCAAAACATACTACATGGACCAGCCAACATATGCTAGCAAGTATAGCTAAACCAGGCAAACACACCCACATTAAAATTAAACATCCAAAATAGTGCAAACACAGACACAGCCCTCCAGTTAAATTTGTCTTTGTTTGTGAAGCCCTGTCACCTAAGGATAACTCTTACTGTGTGAACAACACTGAATAAACAAAAATAAAGGGCAGCGCACCACCAGCAGTGCAGGGTGCGCGTCATAGCTACTGTGCTTATTGTTTTCAACGTGAGCCCACACACTGGTGCCGACTTGACAAGCCATGGGTTGACGCATTCAGGATATGTCACTGACCTATTACCCAGCGTTAATGAGCGTAAACTCTACAGAAGAGCAGCATTTCTAGCACATTCACTCCACCTACTCCACTGTCTGTGTGACGTGTACAGTGTGTGGGTGTGTGATACGGGCTTTTGTGAACATGGGCCAGATAAGGCAGCACTACATGGTGTGGCCCATGTACATTGCACTTCAAGGAAAAGTATAATTTATTACAACCTGGGATTCATTTTTGTAGGTCTGGCCAATAATTCTATTATGATAACACTGTATTTACTAAAGTAATGTCTAGGATAAGTGTTATTATTAATTGTTGCGATCACAACATTGCAACATTGATATTAATTATTACTAAAAAATCTTCTCATATTTAAGATCCCACTGTTCTGGTTGCATTAAAAAGGAATGTTTTTTTACTCAGATTGTATGCATATGGTGGTGTGTTCTTTATACTGCAGTTATGACAGTTTTCCTAAAAGTAGATTTTTAAAAATCACAACATATTGCCTGGCTTACAGTATCGCAATATATTGAATCGTAACTGCTGTATCGTGATATTTATTGTATCGCCAGATTCCTGCCCTAGTATGTATATATACTGTATATATATGCATGTGGAAGAGAGAGTTATGCAGTAAATGCACACGTACACAATGTACTAGTAGATAAGGAGGAAAGTGACTTTTTCTGCGGCTTCCTTTGAAAGCACACTGTCTTGTTAAGTAACACACTGTTTTCTGTGAAGAAGGGAGTGTATAGTTCCCCGAATGGGAATATTGCCAATCAAAATGTGGCTGTTGTGTTTTGATGGTCACTGTTAATTTCATTACTTCACTTCACGTCCTTCCCATAGTAAAAACCAAACCTACGCCCTTGCTTTTAAATAATACTTAACTAATAAAATATTTGGTTCACAAATGTGGTCCTGCTTTCATTGATTTGCCAGTGCGGACATGGTAAATGTCCTCCAGAGAACTGACCCGTAACTTCTTTTAAGCACGTTGTAATTTTATAGTCATTTAACTTTACTGCCGACTTGTCTGGGTAAAGGTCTGTGGATAGGAGGAATGCAGCAGAGTTTATAGACCCACGGCCCTGCAAGTGCAGCCAAGTTCTCTGAATCATCCGTGTGTAGTAAGTGATTTGGAGAACTTGGCTTAGTTTATTGGGGACAACTGCACTGGACTGCACAGCAATGTTGAGTCAAGTCAGGAGCAATAAGTCTTGTCAACCACTCATTTTTGCACCGTGTGATTCAATGCTCCTGTCGTCTTCCCATTCTCACAGCCACCTCAAGTTCCCGATTTACTCTCTCTGCAAAGGCTCATTTCCCTTTCTCCCTTCCTGAATTCTCAGACATTCTTATCTTTCTGCCCCGTTCCTCCTTTCTTTGTTTCCCATTTCACCTCATTTGATTTCCCACATTCACAGCTGCTGAGGCAAAACAGGAAGAAGTGTTTTCCTCCTTTTCTTCCCTGTTCTGTTTTCCACTCCTGTCTCTCTCTCCTCCCCCCTCTTCCTCGGCATCCTCTCTGCTGCTGGTTTGATAACAGGCTGTCACAAGTGTTTAATGTTTCCTCAGAAAGTGCTGGCTGCCCCTTGAGGGCCAGAGAGCTGCCGGTGGGCAGCTGGCGGGCAGGAAAATGACAACTGCATTTGCAGGCCAACTGGGAAAACACACATCTCAGGAGAGAGGGTGATGGTGACACAGAGAGAGGAGTAAAGACAGGAAAGGGCTCTCCCTCTTCCCCTTGTTTTATTTGTCCTTTGATTGGACAGTGATTGTTATATGTAGACCTCATTGCAACCTGGGAAAGGACAGTGGTATAAACAAATTGTGTAATTACAAGACCCTAATGTGACACAAGGGAAGGAGAAAGCCGGA